ATCATTAAAACTATAGTTAAGGAGTAACGATTGCTTATTAGAGCTTTCTTTTTCAATTTATATTTTGTTTGAATACTTAAATGAATATAAATATTCGTTAAATAATCATAGTTTTTTTGTGAATAAATATTTTTAAAAATTCAAAATTTTGAATGAATATATGATTATATTTTTTAACGTGAAAATTTTGAATAAATACAATTTGTAGTTCAATTACAAATTTTTATATTCATCGAGCACACTATTTCAGCGAATTCTCTTTTTCCAGCTTCTGTCTTTTCACAAACATTTTTTTTCTGTATATACAGGATTGGCCATATTCGACGGAAATATGTTTTTTTTTTCAATCATGGGAAAAAACACCTTTTTTGCTGTTCATTTTAAAAATCATTTAATAGGGTTCAAGGATCTTTCCGTCGAATATGGCCAACCCTGTATTGATCATATATAGTCCATTGATGCCCATTTCTATCAATGTATTTTAATTTTAACCTTGGTTCAACTAATTCTTCATTTTTTTTCTAATTCTAAAAATTAGAAGTCAATCTCTACATTAGTAAAAATGAGTATGAGGTGATTTTTCGACATTGTTAATTGCAATGAGATTTTTACTCTTCGTAATGTAAAAAGGATTGATCTTTCAATGATGCTCGTTGTGTTAGTATATTAAATAGTATACATTCCGTTGCTGGGAAAAAAATTTTAGCTTCTTTTAATATCGTTGCTAATTTCAAATCTTTCAGTTCCTTTTTATTAATTTTGTTATCCAGAGAGTGTACTATAGTTCATTGTGAAAATTATTTAAATTATAATAGTAAGAAAAAAATTGCTTTTGAAATCTTCTAATGACTAATGTTATAGGCAACAGGATATATTAAAAGGATGCTATAATATAATGAAAAAAACCGGTTTTATCGGAAAATCGCTGCTTCAATAAAACTATTGAAAAATCTAAGTAAAGAATTATCGGTGATCTTTTCTCAGTTTCTTAATGGATTTAAATGTATGAACTATAAAATCATATAAAAAATTTTACAATAGTTACATAGCTGCTTTTTCTCTTATGTACGTAGCCGATGGTATTCATGATTTAATTATTTCGCAATAAATTTATTTACAGGTTCAGCGCATTAATATCTTTCTAATAGAATGCCTCGATTTAATTTGTGATATTACTACAATAGTTTAGTTGCGTTTCTAAGGCTGGTATTCATAATCAGTTTTTATTTTAAGACTGTCATAAGTAATGTCTTAAGTCGCTAACGCGGTCCTCTGATTGGTTCCTGACTGTACTTAAGACAATCTTGAATATAAGATCTGACTATGAATACCGGCCTAAGTCCGAAAAACCAATTCGGCGCGCAATTCAAATACATATATAGAATATAACTACATAACATGTATAATATGTATAATATTTGTATAATATGTACAAGGCTCATCACATGACAAGGCGTAACACGGCGTAAGGGTGCAGGCGCAGGCGCAAGAGAATTATTCCCGGTCATACTGGTGTGGCACAACGTTGCAACGGAAATAAATTAATTTTATATATTTCCAACGCCTGCGCCCACGTTACGCCAGCTGTTTTTGTTGGCGCGGTTATATTATACGCGGTTAGGTTACACACACGGTTTGGATTCTTAAAAACATAGACAAGGAAAATTATTATCGAGACACTACCGTGTCTCCTGATAATAATGAGGAAGTTGATAATAATAGATCAATAGGGAATAATCTATCAGAAAAACGTATGACATATATCCGTACATTCATTAACTTTGTGTATCCTAATACACAATTGTATATTAAAACACTGCTAACAGATATAAAAAAATCACAGCAATTTTTATTTTTCATTACTTGTTTGTATCAACGGCAACAATGTTAAAAACTATTTAAGCATCTAAGATTCAGTTTGCTGTGATAGGTTTTAACTTTTACTTGTTGTTAATTATTTTTTTTGCCAAAATTTAGGGGGAGGGAGCAATTGTCTTCCTCGCTGCGTACGCCTATGCACGTATATGTAACGCGACTTGATCTGCAGGAGCGACTTCTCGTTAAGTTACCCATGACTACAGAATTCTATTATAACACTAAATCGCTAACTCGTCTCATTAAGTATTGCCAAAATGTATGTACAGTTCGTAGCAGTAATGCCTGGAATTCGATTTTAGGGGTCCACGTTTCGTTCTTAGTTATTTTTACATTCATGACTGTTAAAATCTGATACGACCGGATATTACGTCAGCGATCATAAATGTATCGTTGTATTTGTGAATTGTGAATTGTGTTTCGACAGCCGGCCGATGTAACCTCAGTTTTAATCAGTGAAATCTTTATCAGATAATCTAGTGATTAGTAGGTTGAAGACGTTTCAATATTTCTCCATCCGAAGAAAGAGGGCAAAAATTTTTTCAGTGAAATCTCTGAAATACTCCAAAGCTTAATTGAAAGAAAGCAGATTGAAGCCTTCAGATAAGTTGTAATTTTGAAAAAGTATAATTGCTTTTACTTGCCAATAAGCAAATATACTTTGTGAGCTGTTTTTATTACATAGGTAATAATATAAATAAGCGAATAAGACAGTCAACGATGGAGTGTTTCTAGCAAGAAGTGTTTTATTAGAGACAAGCAGAAAGATAATCCCAGATATTTAATCATAAAGTATTTCAGTATAAAGTACTCATCATGTTAAGAATGATGGTTAGTAGCATTAAAATCCTTTATATTGTTGTTTCTCATTCAATCTCAATGAAGATTGCAATCTCGGCATAATATATGAGTATCAGCATTAAAATAAAATTAAATTGCGAATCTCCTGAGAGCTGAATGTATTCTAAATAAGATTTTTCCCGTGAAATGATTACGAGGTCTTAAATGAATAGGTCTGAATAGAAAGAGATACAGATTATATTAACTAACATCTGAAGTTTATTCTAAAGTTTAATAACGAGCATATGTATTACAATTTGAAATATTCAACATATAGAGTTCTCTAGATATTTTGAGATCTGCGTAGTCGCAATCCGTTCGATTGCTTTCGAGACAGTACATAGAATGGAGATTGGCCTGTAATTTCGCTTCTCTGATGGACATCTGACTTTAGATGTGGGACACATCATTGCAGTCTTTCAGCATTCAAGGTAAATGTCATGTAGGTAAAACTGAAATCGAAGATGTGAATTAGAACCGGAAGAAAACAGAGCAATATTGAAACAATTTGTCTATCAGAGAGACGATATCGATGGCATACGATTTGTTACGCTTCAAGGTCCTTTCACTTTATGCTCGATGGCTTATACCAATAGAAATTCATATCTACGTATGTTCCCTCATCGACGAAAATAGAAGGACAAATCTGCAGCTCATCTAAAAGCGATGCAGTAAAAAAGAATTCATTGGCTGCGTTCAGTTAACTTAACAGTTAACTGAATAGAGCGCCCGATGTTATTGATGTATTCTTTTAGATTATCCAATCAGCATTTTAAATCTGGAAGAATACATCAACAGCAGCGAACGCTCACTCAATTGTTGAGTCCGCTGAACGCAGCCAACGAGTTCATCCACGGAAAAATTGAGTCTCTTGTTATAATTTTTTTAGTTGAGCAGACCAAAATATTTAAACCTCTTTCAGACCATAGTCGAATTGCTGACACTTTGAAAAGCGTCTAAATAATACTTTTTCTTCATGAATCGCATCAAGTCCGATTTCTCAAAATCTTAAATATCATAACAAGCCTCTGTTCATTTCTTCCAGATTTTTCTAGCTTTGTCTTTAGTTCGCATAACAGATTTTGGTTAAGAAACTGACAATTCTGTTACATTTTTTCTAGCAATCTGTCAACAGTATTATGTACATCTTTTATTGTTATTTGGTTGGCATAGTGTGTAGCAAACATTTAAAAAATCTGCTTTCTACAGACTTGGCTATCAGGGGATTTAATCTCCTGTGTTAACTTAAAGACGCTAGTAAGTGCTTAGGTTGGATGTTACGAACTGAGGCGTGTTTGTGTAGCAATCATTCAAAGCGAAACTTCATCATTGAGCGATACTTTAGTATTGATGTTAGCTAATTGATAGAGTACACTCTAGTTATACTGTCTCAAGTCATTCAAAAATTATTTTTCACAAGTCAAAGGAAAATTTCGTATATTAATTTTACGAATTGAAATCCATTCAATCGCCAAAAATCATTAGATGTTTGTAATCAGTAAAAAACTCTGTGTAAACATCGAAGAATTCTGAGAGGTAGTTATGAGGAGGTAAGTAGATTACAGTCCCCCCCCCCCTCCACCTTTGCCCAGTCTGTCACATCTAAAAACCTGGTATCCAAATCTCAGATAAGTGTATGATATATCGAGCTATTTAGGTGCAAAACTCATCTATGCGATTGATAGTTAACGATGGCATATATGAAAGAACTCGAAAAATTCATTAGCCATAATTTATAGATTTATTTCTTTTCGCCATTTTTCTTCGCAGTATGGGACAGTTCTTTTTATTGTAATGTTTGAGAGTAGAGTCTATTTTCGTCGACGAGGGAATATACGTAGATATGAATTAGAGTAAGTCTTAAAGAATTTTCTTTTTATGATTAATAATCATTTTAAAATTGATTTAGAAAGATAATGTTTATTTTTAATTTATTTTTTATTTGGGCCTTATTATATTTATAAATAATAAGGCTCAATGTCAGAGTTTAATCAAATTTTTTTGTTCATTTACAAATTCTATATAAATAATATATTCTATATAAATTCATTCTATATAAATAATATATTCTATTTTTGTGAGTGAATGAAATAAAGATTTGATTCTCATTTAGTTTATTTCAAGATCCTCACAAATAGATTTTTTTTTTAAATAAAATAAATTAGCTGGACCTTATTCGACTCAGATACCTTAGATATAAAAAATATTTTCTACTGTATACATTCCGTGACGGGTATTAATTCACTGAAACATAATTGAAATTATGTGTAGAACTGAATTATGGGTAAAAAACAAAGTTAGAATTAATATTATACAAAATCATAGCAATAATCCTCTGTACAGAACTCATAAAAAGTTTGCATGGAGGCGGATGATGAGACTTATAACAGACAGCGAGTAATAAAAATCGTCGCCAGGTAAGTCTGGTCAGTCTTGGTTCTTCTCAGCGGGGGACTTGGGTCGATGGTGGAAGCTAGGCCGGATCCCAATCTCTTGCTATATGCACTTACCCTTTCCATATATAAGCTTTCTTTTCTTTTCCTCCATGGAATTGGTCCCGCGGAACCCTAGAGACCTTCGCAAAAACATTGGTCGCCTTCTCTTAAAATCTTGCTTGACGATATTCTTAGGCAACTCTAAATATTTTACTTCATTCAGATTTTACAGAAATTTTATATGATACGCGCCAATGTATTTTCTTGCATCTTTCCGTTATAAAATATTTGGAAAAATAGATGATTCGGAAAAAGAGATGTTCCGTGTAACGCCAGTTGTCATAAACGTCATAACAATTATCGAATATGTTTCACAAATTAATAAATGCAGGCTGCAAGTTCAGAATGCCTATACTTAATTTTACATAACATAAAATTTGTAATATATGTAACGTATACTGTAGTATTTCCATGTAATATTTTTCACATATAAGACCTCTGACCCCTGACGTTCATCGTCGACATTTCTAGAGTTCGAACGCAACGAATCGTGAAAAATTGTAATGCGCATCCTGCGACCTCGCTCGTACAAAGAATTGTTCTTACAAACAACAAAGCAACAACATTGTGGATCTGGAATTTCTTTCATTTCCAACGACGTGTATTTATAGACATTCAAGGACACCAGACGCGTCGTTGAAATTAACATGTAGGAGCTTTCGCGGGTCTTTGTTGTAATAAATTCACTAACATCAATTTTTCTCTGAGTTTGCGATGCTTAAAGTTCGTAACGCATCTAAAATAACGCGACGAAATATTAATGTACTCTTAATTTGTCAGAATAATGCAGTCAGCCACGTTTTATGTTAAGAAAATATAATAGATATATGTATATACTACATATATTAATATTTATACTTTAAACAACCCGAATTGGAAATTAAAATAAGAACGATGTTTGCCTGATTTAGTTGTTGAGACCTGATATTATTGCCTCATCCCTCTACAGTACAAATTAAATATTACAGTAATATTGTAGCAATATTACTTGGAAAGATTGTAATGTTTCATAAAATATTACTGCAATATATTACATATTCGTATGTAAGCTAAAATAAAAGATAAAAAAATAAATAATATATCAAAAGGTTCAATAAAAATAAACGAAAGAGGGCTAAAACAAATATATTTAATATAGATAGAATCAATAATACAAAAACAACAAACGTTTTGTACTCGAACGGGTCATTTTCAATGTGATATAAAAAGTCGGTTATGAGATTTCGTTAATACTAAGATTAAAATATGTAATAAGAATAAATATAAATTAAGGTCTAAAAAACTCTAAAAATTATGATTCTAATAAAACCTCGATGATCGTAGATGGAACTTGATGCATTGATCCATATCATATTTGAACGATTATTATTTGAGTGGAATTCTTGATAAGCATCCAGAAATGAATGAAAATTATACTCAATTCTACATGATTTGAGTATCTTAATGGATTTTTTTTCTCAGTATATAATCTTTTGTTAGATTGTTAAATGATCAAATAATAACTCAATCAATTAAATTACAATCAATTAAATTATATTGTATATATATATAATATAATACTAATATTACATATATATTAAACGCTACGAATTAATTCCAACACCTAATATATATATTACATATATATAATATTAATAATTATAAATTAATCTTGATTAAAATAAGAGCAAATATACATGCATATGTATATACTTTGATTGATACGAGCTGAGAATGTAGTACAATTTTGATGAATAAATATATAAAATATATATAAAATGAAGCAAACGTGCGACAGAATCAAAAAGTATGTTTTTGTTATCAAGAGACAATATGAAATAAGAAGATAGAGGAAGAAAGAAAATTTAGGAAATGAAATTTAGAAGAAGGAATACTAAGAGGGAGAAAATGATTGTATAATTTAGTGGTATGATTCTGGCAGAGATTATATATCAACCTGTTTATTTAATTCCTGCTTTTGTCTTTTTATATGTATATAAATTTCAGGTATAAGTCTTTGTAAGATGGTTCCTTGTTAAGTATTTTAATGTCATTCCATTTAAAATTGTGATTATAATTAACACGATGGTCAGTGATGATGGAGAACCAGTTTCTTTCCTTATATTCGAAATGTGTTCGTGTATTCTAGTTTTTAATCTTCTTTTAGTTTGACCAATATAGCTCACAATTTTTACAAGAAATTTTGTATACTATGTTTTGATTGGATGGACGATCCAACGATCTTTTCCTCTTTTTATAAATTTCTTTAAGGTATTCGGAATAGTAAAGGCCAATTAAATTTAGTTTTATTAAAGATAGGAAACTTTCAGAAATGGATTTTATGTAAGGAATAGTAAAATATTTTTCTTTTACATGTAAATGATTATTATGTGCAATATTATTATTATAGATGTGAAATTTTTATCTTTCATCAAATTTGGAGAAAATGAAAGAAAGAGGATTTAACAAAATGTGAATGGCATTTACGAAATTTTTTTGGTAAAATCGAGGATGTAACAATTTAATTATTCTATCTACCATATCATAAACAACGCCTAACCTATGGCAAAGAGGGTGATGTGAATTGAAATTAAGGAATCTGCCGGAAAATGTTGTCTTTTAATATCTGTCAAACATAATTCTCTGATTTTCTATGATAATGGTTGTATCGAGAAAATTTAGTCTCCCATAATTGTCAATCTCCATTGTAAATTGTAATCTTGTATGTAAAGACTTAAAAATATTTAAAATGCCGTCAATACTGTCAGAAGGAATCGCTAAAATAATGTCGTCCACATATCGAAAAAGACAAAAAAATAAAAGATTAAAATGCCGTCAATACTGTCAGAAGGAGCCACTAAAATAGTGTTCACATATTAAAAAAGATAAAAAAAAAATAAAAGATAAAAATATCGGTCAGGGGATGCCGATAATTTTGACCTTGATATATATTGTCAAGGTTATGATCTTGAATAACCACCAAGTTTTAGCTGTTTTGTTACTCATTAAAAAGTTATAAACAAAAAAAGATTAAGAAATAATCTTATTTTTCAATAAGAATATCTTTGAATCAATGTAACCTCTGTGCACTGTTAAACTATTGCCGATGACTAATGTCATCAATAGAAACGAATTATTCAAGTGTTAATATGAAGGGAATAAGTTTGAGAACAATCTATCTTCTACGTGTGTTCTGCCGTACCAAACTATTCGGGGATTTAGATTTTGGGATGCGTCCCCGGCGAACGATTCTCAAACTCGAGTTCTCGCACACGACTGACTCGCATTCGCAGGATGCTTCTGAGAGAATCGCCTTATCGATTAAACCGCTCCGCTGGCGGGCGGCGAAGTGTAAACTTCGCGGCCAGATTGGCTGATTATTAACTCGGCATTACCAGATGTATCAAGCTAATGCGCGGCAAAGCAAGGTATTCGAGCATTTGCTTATAATCCTTCACTCGTCTTTCGTTTTGCTCGAACCTATCTCTCGTTGCAGATCTCAACGATTCAATTCGGAGATACACAAGGCATCCAATCTCGTTGCTCACTTGTTATCATTCGATTCGCTCGACAGTTTCGGTATCCGTCCTGAACATTGTTTAACATACATTGAAAATGGATCCCGAATTAATAGTATGTGCTGTTATAGATATATAGTCACGATGTAAAAATTAGAGATGTTCGATCCATTTAAATTTTTTACATTAAATAAAAAATAAGATATGAATTATTTTAAATAATTTTAAAATAATTTATCTCAATCATATTTTACAAAAAATTTTAATAAATTTTTTTTATTTTATAAAAAAGTTTTATAAAGAATTTTAATTTAATTTAAAACTTATGTTATCAAGTAGAATTTGGTTATCACGAAAATTTCCAGCAAAATCCAGCCTCTATTAATAATGAATTTTTCTGGCTACCATTTAAATATTTGAAACAGATTATATTCTCATGTAAAAAGTAAATAAGATGCTTTCGTGCGATGTAAATAAGATCGCTTTTATGCGATGTTAAAGGGATCCTAAAGACGATTAGTCATATTGTAAGTAGAGCTTACACAGTCGATTTACGTATCATTGATATATCACTACATATTGCATCAATATCTCACTCAGGCATGCTACACGTATACATAAATTTTCATAACATTTTAATTATACATCAAACATAAGTCCAATTCTAAGAATTCCAAGTTGTTTCTTCGTGCAAATTATTAATCTGTGGACTACTAATTCGTAAGTACAGTTTTTATACGAAGCAAATGTTGTCATGATGTAATGGCTCTAGAACGCCATATTGGATTAAAAAATGATAAAGAAGATTTCAATTTTGAAACTTTTTGACATTGTCGGCATAAACACGTATCAAAATGAGTATATTTTAATCCTAGAAAAGAATTCTGCAGTATCTGTGAGATGGAGTCTATGCTGAGAACAACAAAAAATTTCGAAATTGAGATCTTTACCATGTTAGTACTTACCTATGTAGTGATGTGTCAATGATATGTAAATCATAAGTGCTATTTGCGATATGACTAATCTTTAGGATCCCCTTAAGAAGACAAACACTGTAGAATTTTCAAAAAATCGATTTTTGTATTTTCGTTTTAATAGATGTGTACACATTTCAAGAATGTCCTCTGAAAATTTGAAATTTTCTGTTAGATAATTTGGTCGGACATTTGCGATTCATTTTTATTTTATTTTAGCAAGAAAATAAGCTGAATCGCTTGCTCACTTCTTGCCTAATTATATATGTGAAGTTAGCATATATTATATATTGAGCCATGATATAAAACATATGTTAACTTTACGCATATAATTAGGCAAGAAGTGAGCATGTAATTCAGCTAATTTTTTTTGCTAAAATAAAATAAAAATACTATTCAGTGCTATTCAATGATGGTCACGGGGATCTCTTGCAAATTCTGAAGGGTTTAGAGTAAAAAATTGACGAAAAAATGTAGCGAGAGAATATTACATAGAAAGCGACGATGAACGCTTGGCAATTGCTAATCAATGAGCGCAAGAAATGACGAAAGAAGAAGAATGACGTATTTTACGCCGACAGACTAATTCCGAATTTCGGAATCAAATTT